CCGTACGTAATTTCAAAAAGCCAGCCGGTTAAGAGAACAGCTCACATTTTCCGATCGTTGCGAAAAAGCTCTCTTCCATTGTTAGGTACCCCGATACGGTTTCCTCTGGTAGTGTTATTAACTTGACACACTTCATCAAGGGAAAAACCACTTGTTTACTTGATTTAATCTTGACCCGTAACTTTTAAAGCCTTCTCAAAGCCCGTTGAACCTTTATTACCTTGTCACATACATCGCGTTTAAGGGCTGACATAATAAACGAATCTTAAAAGTGTGTAACGCACTGCCATAAAAAAAAACAACTAAAACGTATCACCTTGCAAACTTAATTATCGTCCGTGACGTTAGACATAAAAATTCTAATAATAATTGTTTTCGAAGAACTTTAAAATCACTAAAAAGGCAATAAAAAGGAATTATTCTACTCTAGAGGGGTGGTAAAAAGTGCAGTCGAATTATCCTTTTTTGGAAGTCGGTTGAAAATATATATAATGATTGAAATAAGGAAAATTAATGTAGAAATGTTTGTAACATCCCGGCGCATCCACCAAAATTTCTTATTTCAATAACTAAAGAGAACTAAGAAAACAAGAAATTAAAGTTAACTCATTAGTTAATCGACACTTTGTCATTAATAAAGACTCCCCCAATACAACTATATTAAAAAACATTTAAAGGAATTTTGTGTTGGTATTAAATGGATAAATACGTACATGGACTATATAAGTAATTAGAGAGATAGTCCTAATACAATAATAAGCAAAAAATTAATTAAATTAGTTTTCTTGCGAAATCGTCCAAAGAACAATTGAAACTGGATCTCATTAAATAATTCTCAGTTTTTTTGTGTCAGAACTTTTTCGTGGTCTGTTAGAATTTAATTTCCTTTCTCCTTTGGTCATAAATTATACACTTCTTTTTTTTCATGAAGAATTCTTTGCTGGACAAGGTAATTACCGGGTCTAGAAGTAAAAGCGGTCATGACCCATGTCTCCTTTGTTTGACCTATACATAATTGTAAATTCCTTCCATGTTCGAAAGAGCAGATAATCCTCCACCATTTCTGATCTCGTTGAAGTTTTAATACACTGAAGACTAACTAAAAGTAAACACTAATACTCGCCTTGAATTTATTCATAAGGTGTCGGAATTGCACCAAGTATGTACCATTTCTTATGTTGTCCGAAAGTCCTGTCTTTTAATAGGTTTTATTACATTACTGAATGTTACAATTGAATTATTTCATTATTATCACACAAGGTACTGATAAATTCAACTCAGAATGTATCTAAGTTTGAACAGCTTTCATAGAAGCATTACTATCATCATCATCATCATCATCATAAGGTCGTCAGTCCTAAGACTGGTTGGACACGTAACTCCACTTCTTCCTATCCTGAGCTAAACTTCGCATTTCCCTAAAACTAGAACAGCCCACATCCTTAACTATTTGCGAAGAGTAATCTAATCTAGGTCTACCTCTACCCCTCCTAACTCCTGTTTCTGCCTCTAATATGTCTCTGACTAGACCTTCATGCCTGAGAAGATGTTCTACTAACCTATCTCGCCTATTTTTTATTGACTTCCATAGAGTCCTCTGTTCTCCTATTCTTTCCAATACCTCTTCATTTCTAACCTTTTCTACCCACGATATCCTCATCGTCCGCCTATAACACCACATTTCGAACGCTTCTAACCTTTTCTTTTCCGCCGCTCCCACTGTCCATGTTTCGCACCCATACAACGCCGTGCTCCAAACATACAGCATTACTATGGTATAAATTAAATCGCACAACCTTTAACCACAAAAAATAAAAAGAAAACTTTTTCACTTAGTTTATTAATATCTCCATTGATCACTCACGTATTTCGCATTCGTTAGGGCATCTTCAGGAGCTTTTAATATAAACTTCTGCAATCTTCTATGTAATTGCCTAATTTGTATTAGTTTCTTAGCAAAGTATTATGACGGGGGAGAGAATTAGTAGTGGCTTATTTTCATAATTGGTTTGTTCGTTAAGATGTTTCACCAATAAATCACAGACCAGATATTAGATTATATAAATCACAAAGTAATAAGACAAAGATGGTGTATCTCTTTTACTTGTAAGTTCTAGTTGGGCTTTTAGTGCACATTATTCGGGCCTGTTCGTCAAGTTTCATCTGACCGAATTGAAACTTTCAAGAAATTCCCTTCAAAGAAGGGCTTGTTGATATTTACTATCTTGTTAGCCCTTTCAAATGTGAAGAGCCTTTAGTTATCCTTTAACTGTATTAAATTTTAGCATTAGACCTTCCACCTTCTCTTGCGTGAAACGTCTCCGAATGTTGCTACATCCACAAATGTGGACATTTCAAGGGCTTCTCTGGTTGGGGTTTGGGGTAAGATTGCATTACCGCTTCCATTGACTGAACTGCTTTTTGTTGTCGTGACAAAAGTGCTTTACCATTAAAATGTTAAAGTGTCTCCTATTTGGAAAAGGACCTCTTAAGTAACACGAACAATTACCTATCATTATCTCAATGAGCCGAGAGCATTGGTGCCGATTCTTTTCTTGGGATTCAATTCAACTTCGTTCTGTTTGTTCCGCGTAATAGCTGACTAATGTAATGTTCGTTTTAGTCAATCTTGTTGTAAAAATCGTTCTAAAACATTGTTTTTCGAGAGTATCGTAAATTTTCTTTTATAGACGCCATTACTGATGGCGGACGTACGTAGCCCTATCGCTTCTTTGTTCGCATTTTTCTTTTACGTACGTTATTTAATCGAGCCTCTTAAAACGGTTTTCTTTTACGACTAGTTTCCCTTTTCGTTTGCAAAGGAAAAAAAAAAGAGTAAGGATGGTATAAAAGTCCTTATTTATATTACGTTTAAAGGTCGGCACGTTGTTGCACGAACAATTTCGGCGCTTTTGGTTACAGAAAATAGGTAATTTTGTGGATATGACGAAAAATATACCCGAAAGTTTTAAATCGATTCATATCTTTTTGAAAGGAAATGAAAAATCGCGTAAATGGTGATTTTTATCGATTCATTACTACGCGCTTTATATTTATAAGTTTGGTAACACCTGCCAGTGGCAAATGGTTTGTTATATTTTCGATAAAATTACTGAAATGTAAAAACAGACGCCTTGGTGTAAAATGGCTGCCAATAGTTCCTTTACATACAAGAACCCATTGTAATCAAAGGGATGAAAAAATAAGACCCTTCCAAAATGCCTCCGAAAATCCGGCTATTACGCGTCCCGGGCGGTCGGTAGGACGGGAGAGCTGCGGGGAATTGGGATTCTACCACCATGCCTGCGTTTCCCGCTGCTTGACCCTTTTCGACGTATTAGTGCCGGTTTTTCGAAGACGTTTTTGAAATGTTCTATGTTTTTTTCTCCTTTTTGATTATACTGAGCCTGTTGATCAAATCTTCGCAAATACAAAGAGATTTGAAAATTTCCTAAAAGTTAATTTTTAACCGATCGGCACCCATGTTATCAAAGCCTTTGCCTTCACATTTCAGTGATTTTCTCGAAAACATACAAATATTTTTTACTAAAAAATTTAACACATATCAAAAGTTAACAATTTACTTCAAACAGACCTTCCTTCAAAGTGTATCAACCGAGCATTAAATCGATAAAGAATCGCGACTTTTCGCGGTTAACAATTCTGCTTGCAAAAAGTTATGAATCGATTTTAAAATATGTTGATAACGCACAAGTACTCTTGAAATGATTATGCAATATCTTGATGCTAACGTATGCAGAACACCATGTAGAGGGTAACTAACAAGAAACTAATGAAGGTAAACATAGCAAAAAGGGTACACCATTTTATAGAAGGTAATTTACATAATACCTAAGTCTTGTTCTGCTTACTCCTAAGGAATTCTCAGAAGTTTTGATGCAGTAGTTTTTTAAGAATTCCGGGAAAATAATAATAAACAATTGCATTAACATTATGAATACAAACTAGAAATTAATAATTCCAAATTATTTGGAGTTATTAAATTAGATAAATATGCCTTTAAAGAATTTCTTTTATTAATAATTTTAGGATTTACTGGCCCTTATTCCTGTTTATCTTTCGGGTTTTAGTCGTTTAAGTAATGAGTTTTAAAGTTCGGTTCTAAAAACGAAATGAAAGAGAACTGAGTAGTTCAAGATTAAACATTCTTTTAAACAAAAAAAAAGTAATAATAATACCGTTTAGAAGCTTTCAAATAGAATTAACGTTAAATTAAACATCCCTAATATTAAACAACCTATCATTTCATGGCTTTCTTCTTCAAATTTTACAAACAAAATCTTAGCATATATTACAAACACGATCCTGTATTAATCAGTATAGTTTAATAATTACCGACCGGTCGAAACAATTCGTCGAGTTCTACAAAAAATATTTTTGTTGAATCAAACCAAATTTTATTTTTAAATAATTTTATAGCGTGGTTTGTTGGATACACCTACGATCGGAACAAAATCGCAAAATATATTGGTGTTTTATGGTAAGGTATCGGATTGCAATAAAGAATATTGCAGCTGTTGGAATACAAGTCAGAAAAAGTTCGAACTGTACCAATAAAAATTTTCACAATCAATAAAAATTTTAGTTCAGAAGAAACTCAAGTTTAGGACGACATTCAAGCAAGTTGTTGTACTGAATACGTGGCATAAATTTCGGTCATAATTTTTTGTTTCAAGCAAAATTTATTGAAGAAATACCTATTTGGAAAACGTACAGCATTAATGTACTATCTATTTTCTAGCATATTTACGTATATATATTTTCCTTATTTTCAATACATGCTATTTAGTAATGAACTTTAATTTAAAATTTATTTTTTACTGTGCTTCATATTGTTTATTTTGATCATCGTTGAACTGTTTATGAAGAACGAAAACTCTTAAAATAGTTTATAAAGTAGGGAATTTTCTAAAGAAGCAGCAGCTCCAAAAACATTTTACCCTCGCGGTACATTCAGAACAAAGGAAAAGTTGTTTTACCTGTTTGCCGGGTGGCTGTTGGAAGTTGAAAACTCGGAAGGAAGTTCGGCAGCGGTCACATACAGAGAGAGAGTGAAGCTTTCGATTGCGGACTGACGTCGTTTGAAAACGTAAGCGCAACTGATATCCTGATCCGGTGGAAAACACCTCCGGACTTTTCCGGACGCGCTCGACAACTCTTCGTAGTTGCGATGGTAAGCACAAAAGATTTCCATAAAGTGCTGATTACATTTGCAAATCTGATGGAAAAGGATTCGATTCAATTGGCAAATACACGTACTACACACTATTTACATAATCAGTAATTGCAATACCTATCACGCGCCTATATCCTTCTCAAAGGGGTCAAGACATTTTATACACAACACCTTTTACCCCCTTGCCCCCCCAATGACCATGAACGTAATATTCAAATAAGTGGCTGCAATTACTATTTTATTTGTGCGTATGGCAAGCAAGTACAACATCCAGGGCTGATTGAAGACCATAAAAAAAATCAAAAGTACGGTTACATGTAAGGATGTGTGCTGCATTGGCATATTGAAGTGCCCCATAAATATTGGGTTGTTCGGAAAGTCATTTCGTTTTTTCCCGACAGAGGATTTAATTGTATTCTTTTGCACCCAACTTCACATTTAAGCCGTATAATTTTTATATGCTTTGAGAGCTCATATAGCAAGGCTTGTGTGTGAAAAATTTCAATTAATTCTACGCAGTAGTTTTTGGTTGGTGCCCTTTTAAATATGGAGAGCGATAAGCAGCATTTTCGACATATCTTACTGTTTTACTACAGAAAGGGTAAAAATGCTGTTCAAGCCAGAAAGAAATTGACTGATGTGTATGGAGAAGGTGTGTTGACAGTACGCCAGTGCCAGAACTGGTTCGCTAAATTTCGATCCGGCAATTTTGATGTCGAAGATGCACCACGTTCGGGAAGGCCGGTTGAAGCTGATAAAGACGCGATAAAGGCATTAGTTGATGTGAACCGGCGAATAACAACACGTGAGATCGGATTGAGGTTAAATTTATCAAATTCAACAGTTTATGACCACTTGAAAGGCCTGGGATTATCCTCGAAGCTCGATGTATGGGTTCCCCATGTTCTCACAGAGAGAAATCTGTGTCGCCGCATTGACGTCTGCGATTCGCTTCTCAAACGTCACGAAAATGATCCGTTTTTGAAGCGCATCATCACTGGGGACGAAAAATGGGTTGTATACAACAACGTCAAACGCAAGAGGTCATGGAGCAAAAAAGATGAACCGGCTCAAACCATTTCCAAAGCCGATATTCACCAAAAAAAGGTGATGCTGTCTGTTTGGTGGGATTTTAAAGGAATCGTTTTTTTTTAGCTTTTACCGGATAACACAACGATTAATTCGGAAGTCTACTGTCATCAGCTGGACAAACTGAATGATGCACTTCAACAGAAAAGGTCAGAACTAATCAACAGGAAAGGTGTAGTGTTTCACCAAGACAACGCGAGACCTCACACAAGTTTGGTCACTCGCCAAAAGCTTTTACAGCTTGAATGGGATACAATGCTACACCCACCATATTCTCCAGACCTGGCACCATCGGATTATTATTTGTTCCGGTCACTCCAAAATTTTTTAGACGGTAAAACCTTCACCTCAAATGAGGAGGTCAAAAACCTCCTCGATCAGTTTTTTGCCAGCAAAGACCAAAAATTTTATGAGCGTGGAATTATGCTACTAGCAGAAAGATGGCAAAAGGTGTTGGACCAGAACGGTCAATATATAATTTAATAAGGTATTTGTTTATTATACGAAAACTGTCTTTCATTTCCACAAAAAAAACGAAATTACTTTCCGAACAACCCTATAGAAGTCATGCGGCAATGCTCTGTGCAATTTTCTAAAGGATGAAATTTTTTAATTAAAAGTAAAAGAATGTACAAAAACCCTTCCACACATCCAGCCTGTGTAGGAAATTGTTAACATATCAAACATAAAGGAATAATACTTACGTATTACAAGATTGTATACTTATACATAACGGTAAAACAAAGGGTAGAAACGTCCCAATTGAATTTTATATAATATATATACTCATGTCCGGGGGTAAAATGTCTCAGGGGTTAAATGTTCCGAGTGTAAAGTGTCCTGCATTCCTACGGTAAAATCTTCGCAAGGATCAAGATCCTTAGCAGTATGAAATGCAACAATTGCCAGAAAATTAGCAATTTTAGTCACTTATACAAAACGTTATTTAGCATAAATCGAGTTTTTAATTTAATAATCATCCAGCCCTACTGTTTCATTCATTCATTTCAAACATTCTGCTCAATTTAAAGACAAAGAATGAATAAAAAAGAATGCATTAGTTTAAAATGGATAATCTACAATCGTGTTTTTTGTTTATGAAATTAGCATCTATTAGTATCTATGCAATAGTTAATCACTGTGAATCTTGAAGAATTAAATACTTTAAAACTTTCACGTAATTTATTAATTATNTTGTAATTAGTGCATTCGCAACTAATTTAAATTTTAAATTTTCAACAGTCGAATAATTTAAAAATATTATAATAGCAAACGGTTAATATTATATCTCTGTAAAAGCCAATTAAATCATAAATTTTCATCGCTCTCTGGCTACGTATGTAGCTACACAGAAATACAAAAATAGGGTAGGTATTGATAGTGTTGTGTGTCATTCACAAGAAAACTTCAGCCTGTTAGTGAGAGTTTCAATTGGAGTTTCTGATGTTGTCGTTATCACTAGTCGTCAAGGATTGCTGATCAACTTTTAATGAATTTATACATCGCTGGCTAACAGAGTCGTGCTCCAAATAGACACGCGAACTCACTACATTTTCTATTTGCAATATCCGACATTAACAGCAGGTCATATATGTAGAATGTTCTTGATATATGAATTAAGCCTCTTTCGTATTAATACCGTTTGAAATGACGACTACTCTGGAATTGCAACTACAGAATTGAGAATTGAATTAACCTTTTAAACATCCCCGCACTTTTATTAATACATGGACAGTACCATGGTACTGTTGCAACAGTTTCTGTACGTATAGACACAAAGTTGTACCATTCATTTAGTACTAGGTATAAATAAATTATCCTGACTATTAAAAAGAGGAAACTGCTCTATCTGGGACACATTATGAGGGGACAAATACCAATTACTTCAACTAATAATACAAGGTAAAATAAGTGAAAAAAATCAGTAGGAAGGCGAAGACATTCCTGGTTGAAAAACCTACGCGAATGGTTTCACACCACCAAAAAACCACCTGTTTAGAACAGCAGTCTCGAAAATACGTGTAGCCTTGATGATTACTAACCTTAGAAATGAAGATAACACTTGAAGAAGAAGATAAACTCATGATTATGTACCTATAAGATATAATGAAATGCATGCATTCTTATGGTGTGCGTAAACCGTATGACCAGTCGTGCCGCAGTCTCTTTTAACGAACGCAAAATTCCCAAACCATTAATTTAATGTAAAGTATACTTCATTTACTTTCTCTAGCGATGTGCCCCTTCCAATGCCTTGGATGCACGCTGGCAAAATCGTAGGTAGGGAGAAAAAAGCTCGTTATACTCTCGACTCTCGTTCATTAAACATACTTTTTCATACAGTACCTGTCAAAAGTTTTGTTCTTTTATGAATAGTAGTGCGCGTCGAAAACAAGCGTTAAAGGCTTTAATATGTCTTCAAATATAAATAAACATCTCGTTGATATTTTCAGTAGTAATTGGTACCAATAACAGCACATTTGAGCAATGCAATTGTAGCGGTTCAGAGTTTGACTGAGAGTTGTCTCCTTCCTTTTCTGGCCTGGTTCTGTTCTTTTCTACTTTGCGCCGGTCAAACTGAAGGTCACATCGCTACAGAAACTAAACGAAGTATACCCACATGTATCTCTACAAACATCACTTTCGGATTGCTATTACAATAATCTTTAATATATGCTTGATGAAGCTACTGCAAGGCGAACCAATAGTAGTGTTAGTAAGTAAATTTGTATGGAAGTGTTTTATTAATTCCATAATATGGAGTATTAAAAATTACGTGCTTCAACAATTAATTTTTCCGGTGTCTTATTCTTCAACTTATTAAAGTAACTGGTTCGAAGAGGAAATTTTAAATGCCAAAAGAATTTTATGGTTTTATAGGTACTTAATTATGAGACGTTTTATGTAATGTATATTACACCGGGGGTGCCATATTTTAATTTAGAGCTTTTCCCTCTTATAGGGGATTTACAAACCCCAGTTCCCCAGTGTGACTTTATACATTATACAGTCACTAATCTTAAAAAGTTAAGGTGAGGCACGCACCCCTCCCTGTCTATTTTCACAAATAATCCTGACTTCTTGTCTAATGTTGACTTTCAACTATGCTTGGTACATAAGAAAGCTTTTCTAACAATCTCGATGTGAAATTACAAGTTACGTACACGCTAAACCTTAAACAGTAACGGTGCTCGGTTGTTCAAATGAAGAAAAGGAAAGTACTGTCATATTCTCACAAAAGATTAATTCATTAATGTTAATTTTATTTATTTTATTCAATGCGAACGAGATTTCGCTTTTTATTGAATCTCCAATGTAAAATATAACAACGGCTCAAGCAATTATCGATGTCGAGCCAAATTGTACTATACCGAAATAGAAATATCCTAGAGAAATGTTGATAAATTAAGATTCTTACAGTATCTTTCTTCAATATTTCTATGTGTAGTGCCAGCTTGACGACCCTCCAAACGTTTTTCGCTATTTGGGACAGGACTTGCTACAAAATGTGTAAAAATACCACTATTCAATGACAAAGTACAACCCTTATAATCCAAATAAGTAGGTACATAAAAATTGAAATTAAAATAGAAAAAAGGATTAAAAGAGAAAATGTATGTAAGCATTTTGCATTGTACATTGGTATTGCTAGCCATTAGGTAAGCGTTTGGCTCATGAACACCCATTTTAAGCACAGTGCACCGTGAAGAAGATAACCGTACAACCCGTTTTATGGTTCGTCTAATGAACTATACATTTTTACACGGTTTTTTGTTGACACAAGAAACACAATGAGACCATTTCTGCTTTTAGGCAATCAGTACGGATTATATAGGGCCGTACAAGTTTCATTATCTTAATAATAATAACCGTTACACTTATCTGGTGGCAACACCGAAGTCATCAGGATCGACCGGGTCCTGTTCCTGTATGTCAGGATTACCGAACAAAGG